AAAATTTATTAACCAATTAAATTTTTTGTTGATCAAAAAAAGGCCTTAAAAAATGATTTACATCTATATAAAAAAGGTCCAAAAAACAAAATCAGCTGATATGAGCATGCCATCTAAATTAGTAGAAGTTTTTACTAATCTTCTTAATAACCATCATAATTGAATCATAACTAATCATGGATTTACAGATTTATATTCTGTTAAAATAGAATCAATCAAGAAGAAACAATAACACTATTATTTTGATGTATTTACTATAATTCTCTTATAAACAGAAATGCATCTTAATTTATAGGTTATACTCTTTCATCATCATGAAAAACCAATCTACAGTCTTTTTAATACCAACATCTTCAAGAATGTTGCAAAAAATAAAATGAATTAATTTTATTGTATTTCAAAGATTTGTATATATTTTGCTTTTTGAAAACATATATAGTGGCAATCACAAGTAATGGAGTAAAATAAAATTTGGTTAGATCATGTTATTTCATGCAATTCTGGACATATCCTTTTGTTTTTTTTTTAATTTGCTCATAAATAGTTACCTTTTTTGATATTAAATTCTTAATTTAGGTTGTTTTGTCGGTTCGAAAACAATCACGCATTGTATCATGAAAAATGTGATGTATTACTTATGATCGTTCCCTATAAAGGTCAGATAAGGCTTGTGTATGACATAAATAACAATATAAAAGTAAATTACATTGTTATTTTTGCATCATTGTATAATGCTGAATCTTATCGATAATCAAGTTTTAAGAAAAAATGAACAAACGACTCCAGCCCAACAGACTAAAATTTTACTTTTGCTGCAAAAAGGATACACCACAAGGACAGTAGATCATATCTATAAAGTTAGTTCCTTCACCATCTCTCATATTAAAAATAGGTGGTTAAGACACCACAACTTGATGACTTGGCAAGGGTTGGTCACCCAGTTAGTTTGGACGAACTAACTCAAAGGAGGATTGTAAACCTAATTACCTCCCATCGCTGCTCAAGTGTCATTGAAGTGTGCTCCTGCTTGAAAGAACAAGAAAACATCGACATTTCTGCACCCACTGTATGTTGTATACTTAGGTCCCACAGTTTGGTGTTGGGTGTTAAAAGAAAGAAGCCTTACCTAAGCCAACTTCATAAAAAACATCAGTTAGAATTTGCAAAAAAATATGAAAGTTGGACTTACAAAGACTGGACTAAGGTAATTTGGTCTGACGAGTAAAGTTTAATATTTTTGAGTCAGATGGCAAGCAATATTATTGGAAGTGTCCTGGAGAACCTTTAAATGACTTTCACATTAAGCCTATGGTGAAATATGATGATGGTTTCATTATAATTTGGGGTTGCTTTACGTCTTGTGGCATTAGTGGTTTTTGTAGAATCGAAGATCATATGGATGACGAATTATATCGTCAAATACTTCATGAGGATTTTTGGGAAACCATTAGAAATTGCGAATTTAATATTCACGATGTGATTTTCCAGCAAGACAATGATTCCAAGCATATGGCAAGGTTGATGAAACGTTGATTGAGGAATAACTGCATTAGGTTATTGGATTGGCCCCCCCAGTCTCCTGATCTCAACCCCATCGAACATTTGTGGATTGAGGTTGACCATCGACTTAGGAACCTCCCTGGGCAAATTTCAAGTAAAGAAGACCTGTGAAACAAGATCCAGGTGGTTTGGCAGCAAATCGACATTGAGACCTGCACCAACCTGATTCGATCCATGCCTGAACGGCTTCGTGATGTTATTAGGTCACGTGGTGGATACACCAGGTGGTAAAAGCCTGGAGGATTAGAATAGAAAAAAAACATTTTTTTTTTAAATGTAAAAAATTTTTTTTTGTTTTATGATTGTGTTGCATTACGCACGATCAAAAGTAATGCAACACGGCAAATGAAATAAAGTTCGTTTTTACGAAAAATTGGGATCATTTATTTTTTTTGAATTTTTTTTACATGAAACTTATAGTATTTACGAATAAATTAAAAAAAAAAACAAAAGGATACGTCCAGAATTGCACGAAATAACGTAATCTAACCAAATTTTTTTTTTGCTCCATTACTTATGATCGCCACTGTATTTTATATTTCGAAGATATGTATTTTGTATTTCAAAGATGCATTTGCTGTAACTTATCGTGTTAATTTAAACTTAAAAAAATATGCACAATCAATTAAAATTGAATGCTATTCCTTTAAATTTAATAAAAATCTATCAGTTCAAATAGCAAAGCTTTTTAGTCTCATTTTTATCTTTAAATTTGTACAGTATTCAATAATTCGCAAACTAGTGTAGTCATGTGATTTAATTGCGGCTTAGGTTAACTGCGCCATAAACCTAGCACACATTCAAGGGATGCATTACAAAAACCTACGTCACTAATAATCGAGGACGTTATCATATGATATTCCAACCTCTTGACGTATGTAATATAATTTAATTTTTTCTATTCATATTTTTTTCATTATTTCATCATTCGTATTTGCTACTTACTTATATTTGCAAAAAAAACGATAAGATTAAACCTTTTTACATAAATAATATAGTCAAATATTAAACCTACATCCAATAATGATTTATATAATTCGGTTCTTCGCTTCGCTTTAATTTAGGTCGTGCTTATATTTTTCGATCACGACGATTTTCGCTACGTACATTTTTACAACTATTATATTCAACTAATCGTTATGTCAAATAATTATATTGACATCCGTTTTATATATTTGCAAACTTTAAAGTTAACTTTAATTTAAATAAATATTTCATTTAAGGTCTTTGGGTACTTTTAATTAATCTGGTTTCGCAAAAGTTTGGCGCATGATTAATTAATTGATGTCGATTTTTGCTTATTTTTCTTGTTTTAGAAGTTTTTTTCTGTGATTTACATTTAGGATCTCATGGGGATGGGGCAAAAAAGGCGTATTTTTTAATTTCATAACAAATTTGTTCTTATAAATTTAAAGATATAGATTTTTTTAAAAAAAATTGTTTTTAATCTATCCCCTTTTTTGGTTGTGAGAGGTCTCATATGAAAACATGTCATACCAACATCATTCGAAATTAATTTATGTTTTACAATTTGAATAAATAAATTAATACAGTAATAATTGTTTATTCGGAAGTTAAGGTTGAAACGTCTGTTTTATTCAGTATCCACATTGCATTAATTTCCTTTCATTTTTTTTTAAATATATATATATAATTCGAAGATTATAGATTGGAAAATTATGTGGCAGCGCCCACAAATGCTTTTCCTAATCACTTGATCAAATCTTTCTACACCTCAGGTTAGTTAGTGTAATATAGTATTTGTAATATTATATTTGTGCTATCATATTTCGGCAATGCCTATCCTATTTCAGGGCTCTTTCGCACCTTTGCACCGTCCTATGAGTTATGGGCAACAGGTCATATCAGCATAAAGAGATAAATGAGCCAAAAACATTTTAACCGCAAAATTAAAGACGAAACACCACAAACGCAAATGTAATACTGTTACACAAAACCCTATCATAAACGCAATGTAAAAAATATTAATTAACATAGTAGGAAGCATTAATCGACAAATTAAGCTATACATTGACGTTAATTATAAAAGCGTGGATAAAATACGTAGTACTTATGAATGAATAATTGCTACTGAAAATGTATTAAGCAACCCTTTTTTGTTTAGCAAAAGTCGGGGATTTGAAGGATTAGGGTTCAAAATTAAAATCAAATCATTTCATTTTTCCGATTTTATAATTGGATGTAGCAAAAAAATTCTATTTACATTATAAATAAACACCCATTCAAAGAATTTGTTTCACCATAAAAATTTCGCCCCTAGATCAGTGAATATACGTATCCCGATGGTAAAAGGGCCTATTGCGAAAGAATTACCAAAGTAGTAATTAGGAAAGTTAAACTTAACGTTAAAAAATGTTAACTTATACTTTTATGGCTAGATTGAATGCATTCGACGGCTATTTACATATGATATTACCAAAAAAGAGATTATGATTCTTGTGAATACCGGCAAATCCGAAATTTATTGCTTTGCAACAATGACGTCCGCACGCCCTTATTCTTAAAATATGCAAGTTGAAAATTCGTATGCTATATCTTTTGTCTTACCTTATAATTATATTTACGTACGTACAAACATTTGGGAAATTCTAATTTTTCAAGACAATTTGTGAAACAAAAGTTTATAAAATGATGCTAAGGTTTACTTTTAGTCTGCTAGACTATCATGCAAAAAAGCTTAGTTGATTATAATAAAGTTTTGAAGATTGACATGAAATTAACTACATAATTCTATAGCAGTTCGCTTTTTAACTAAATTGTAAAGGTTAACCGATTTTTTATAAATGTTTCTGAAGAAAAATTTACCATAATGGTTCATTTTTTTGTGCACACATATATATTTTTTGTTACGATTTTTATATTGATAATAATTGCTCAAGGTAAGTTTATTATATTTAATTGTCTTTCATTTCCATCTTTTAAATATAAATTTTTACTACTTACAATTAATCAGCTGATGCTGAAAACTCTTTCCAAAGATTTGTACGGAGATTTATACCGGATTTCTCATCAAGATTTTCTCAAAACTTACTAGCAAGATATCCTCAAGCCAAAAATACTCATGTGATTACTACTAGTAGAACTAGAATATCCTTACCGACTTTTACAAAAACTGATCATCTAGTAGCTCAAAAAACTGATCATGTAATGGTTCCAACAGTAGCCCAAACTACGTTAGATACTTCAAGTCCAGTTTCTAGTAATGAAAATACATCCACATCCTATAATACTTCTGTTCCTCCCATTTCAGCTGAAAGTTCCAATGATCAAAATGATAATTCTTCAACTAAGTATATAATAATTGGTGTTTCAGCAACTATTGGAATTATTTTAATTGTTTCATTGGTGTTTATATTTAAAAAATTACGCGCAAACCGACGTCTTAAAAACAAAAGTGTTCATGCTCGTGGAGGAAATTTAGATCAAGAATTTGGAAATGAAAATTTTGATAGAATAAGAAATGTGAGTCATTCGTCACAACAAGGAGTAAATTACATGAATGGCTCAATTCAAAGCTATAATGCTTCAAATGGAAATGAAAGTTTTAATCAATCATATCAAGTGTCGTATCCAGCAAGAAGTCATTATAAAGACTCCTATCCAATAAGAAGTGATTATTCAAATCGTTCGGGTGGCTCGCCCCCTACAGATAGCAATTACAATGGTCATACTGGAGGTTCCGGTCAAGGTTATCATCCCCAACATTACAATGCTCAGTTAGTAACACCGAACCAATATTATAATCCAGATCCAAATTTCGTTGTTACAAATTTTTTACCACCTGGCAGTATAGATCGTCGGATGATTAGAGAAAATATACTGGAAATTGCGAATGACGAAGATGATACTCATGAAAGTTTAAGAAATTATAGTATGACTGAAAGTAATACTTTATTTGTGCCTAGCGTAAGGGAAAGTGAACAAGAATCATTAGGATTACCAATTATAAGTGAAAACTCTAGAACTTCACCTCCGGTAGATAACAGAAGTCAAACAAATCAAAGGGCTGTATATTTTTAACCTTTATAAGGCTATATTAAAATTTGATTGTTATGTAAATTATAATTTTAAATTAAATTAATACTGTACTAATATACTGTATACATAATTAATCAATACAATTGCTATTACACTTTTTTAATAAAATAAAATTATCATCAGGAAGTATTATTCACATCTCGCAATTATCAAGCTGTCTAATCTAATGTATATGAATTTTTTGTACCTATAGATGAATCGATAACTCCTTAAAATATAGATAGACCTTTCATTGATAACCTTGATTTAGTTAAAAATATAACCTCTATTTATTGTTTCGGATTTAATTGTATAGAAGTTGAGGTGATATAAGCAGTGCTCTGCAAAGTCAAATTAAAGTTTGAATTTAAACAAAAATCCAAATTTAATCAAATCAAATTTGATCGCATTTGACTTGACTAACCAAATATTTGAAATATTTGATCTAATCAGATATTCTTAGTCATGTCAAAAAAAATTGTCGGTGATGTGATATATAAGCCGCTTGGACAATTAATTTATTATAATTCGGAAACCCAAAAAAATTTATAAGAACTTTGAATATAGTCTGAGTGGCTTATTTATACGTCACCGGCAATTCTTTTTAACATGACTAATCTACCTATATTATTGCTCGATGAACTGTTCATTACTTAATCAAATCAGATTTGATTTGATCAAATATTTGATCAGGTTTGATTGATCAAATATTTGATCAAATTTGACTTGATCAAATATTTAATTTGAAACTCAACTTTGATTTGACTTTGCAGAGCACTAAATATAAATTTAAAGATCAATTCAATATTTAGATTAGAAGTGTTGGTGAAATTAATTCATCAATTCAACACCAATTTACCAACAATGATAAAATTAATTCATTACTCTGTTTTAATTTCATCAACATCTTTTAATTTGAATATTTTATACCAGGAACAGAGTTTTCCGTAAGTGAATATGGTTTAACAACATGTTCAAGGATGCTTTTCTACAAAAATCTTATATTCAGTTGGATGCCACAATTGGCTATAATTTCTAAATATATAAACACAGATAATTTCAGGTCGCACATTGGATCAAGAAAACAATTTAAAGCGCTACCATGTAACTAAAAAGTAGAAAAATTTAATGGTTTAGGGTGTTTGAACCATTTATACCAGAAACATTTTCTATTTTTTGGACACTTAATGAGTCCCGAGTTGGGATGTCAACGGTCGGTCACGGTCGGTTTCGGTCAGTCATCATCGGTCATAAGTCATGACCGAACCGACCGCGGTCATGACCGATGGGTAATTTAAAATTTTAATATCCAGCATTATTTAATTAATATTAGTTAATTTAAGTTACCGCATTCTACCATAATAAGCACTGTCCCCCTACCTATTTTATTAAATGTCAGATTAGTGGAAACAACTTTGCTAAATATCTCATTGTGATTTCCGCTAATCTGATATTTTAAAAATTGAGGTAGAGGGATGATGCTTATTTACGATAGAATACAATAAAGTTTTTTGATTTAGATAGAGCTCCAATCCATTACCCGTTTATCCATTTATCTATCAGATATCCAAGATCTGAATTTCCGTTTTACTATTGATATCCGGATAATTTGTCGGATTATCCGGATATCAATAGTAAATGGATATCCGGAGAAATTCCGATACGGATAAATGAATGGCGGATTTATCCGGATTGGAACTCTAGATTTAGAGTTACTAAGCTAATGCGGAACAAATTTATATTTAAATTATATGATCTGTAATAATATAATATATAGTTAATAATGTAATATTTTTTATAGGATAAATTTAATTCAATAATAGAGATTGAAAAAAAATATAAATATGATAAAATTCTCGTCAATCATTATTTCCAAATATAATCGATATACGATATACGAACATTTATTAAATATCATTTATTAAATATCATTTAACTAATTGGTTAAAGTTGTATATAACAATAATTTCGGCACAATATTTATAATCAAACCTATTTTTGTATCATGATAATTATTTTACAGATCGTTAAAATGATAAATAACAAAATATAGTATCGGTCAAACGGTCGGTGCGGTCTGTCAGAATTTGTGACCGAACTGGTATCGGTCACGGTCATGACCGGTCATGACTAGAGATGGGAAAATCAAGGTTTTTTTGAAACTACTGCACAGCCTACACAACCTCACTCTCTAGAGACTTTTACTCATTAGGTTTCGTGTTTATATATATAAAACATCTACTTCATATATGTAAAGTTGGACTCCCATCATTTTTAATTAATGCTCCAAGGTTAGTTTAAACATCAGTTTTTGTTGTTTTGCGTTTTTTTCACTTTTTCTCTGCATATCGGTGAATTAATAATTCTGGTCAAATTTGCAG